TTTTCTACCAAAGGAAACCTGAAGACACACCTCGGGGTTCACCGAACCAACACGTCCATTAAGACGCAGCATTCATGCCCCATCTGCCAGAAGAAGTTCACCAACGCTGTGATGCTGCAGCAGCATATTCGCATGCACATGGGCGGTCAGATTCCCAACACACCCCTGCCGGAGAATCCCTGTGACTTTACGGGTCCTGAGCCGATGACAGGGGGTGAGAATGGCAGCACCGGCGCCATCTGCCGTGACGATGTCATCGAAAGTATCGATGTAGAGGAAGTTGGCTCCCAGGAGGCTCCCGGCAGCTCCTCGAAGGTCCCCACGCCTCTTCCCAGCATCCACTCAGCATCACCCACACTAGGGTTTGCCATGATGGCTTCCTTAGATGCCCCAGGGAAAGTGGGTCCTGCCCCTTTTAACCTGCAGCGCCAGAGCAGCAGAGAAAACGGTTCCGGGGAGAGCGACGGCTTGACCAACGACTCGTCCTCACTGATGGGAGACCAGGAGTATCAGAGCCGGAGCCCAGACATCCTGGAAACCACGTCCTTCCAGGCACTTTCCCCGGCCAATAGTCAAGCCGAAAGCATCAAGTCAAAGTCTCCCGATGGTGGGAGCAAAGCAGAGAGCTCCGAGAACAGCCGCACTGAGATGGAAGGTGATAGAGCTTTGGATTTAACTTATGTCCATTTTGGGCTCAAGGTCATCAAAAAGGCACCTGGGCTGAACTTTACAAACGGAGAGTATGACTTGAAGTAGCCCCTTCTAGAGGGCAATTAGCTTTTCTATACTTCTGGGTAGAAGGCAATAGTAACTGCCTCTATTCTAGCAACTAACATGCTTTTTATTTATGGTGGTTAATGCAAAATGGGTATGGACAGCATACCTTTTCTCTTGGTTTTTATTTTTGTCTTTGAGCCCGTTGGGACATAGGGGTAGTCTCATTTTGTTTTGTTTTAGTTTTTTTCTTTTTTTTTCTCTCTACACCATGATTCTGTATATAGGTATCTTAAGAGTGTTTGAGGAAGTGGGCGCTGTTTTTTGACCACTGAAATAAGCCACGGTTCCCTGACTGAGGCCCCACTGCCTGATACAAGGCTCACAAATAAACCACTCTTGAAGCAGGGAAAGATGAACCCGTTTTAAATGCACGTATCTGTTGAGATGTGACTGTTGATGTTATTAATGGCAAAATAAGGGCAAAGCTGTATCATAGAATCAAAGAAAGATGGTGTCTGAGCATATACCCGACAGGTACCTTCTTATGCAGAAATGTGTTTATAGGTTGCCCATACCTCTAAAAAAACACAAAGTGATCTTTTCCCAAGTGTTAGAGGTTTTATTCTTTGTGCAGATAAACAATTCAAAGGAAGGTGTTAATTTCTGTTAAGGTGATTTTGAGGTGTTAATTTCTTAAAAGCCAGCTCCAGACTCTCAAACTAGCAGGCAGTTATCTTCAAAGGTCTTTCTTGTTTTGAAGAAAGGGTGAAAGTTGGGTGATAAAGGTCTGGCTTTTTTTCCCTCTGTGTACTAGGTCGGAGCAGTCTCCCTTCCACGTTTATCCGAGCCCAGCCAACCTACGTCAAGGTTGAAGTTCCTGGCACGTTTGTGGGACCCTCAACCTTGTCCGCAGGGATGACCCCTTTGTTAGCAGCCCAGCCACGCCGACAGGCCAAGCAACATGGCTGCACACGGTGTGGGAAGAACTTCTCGTCCGCCAGCGCTCTTCAGATCCACGAGCGGACTCACACTGGAGAGAAGCCTTTTGTGTGCAACATTTGTGGGCGAGCTTTTACCACCAAAGGGAACTTGAAGGTGGGTTTGTGTGGGCTTCAGCAGGGCGGGGGCTGGGCGCTGAGTATCTTCTTATTGGCACTATCCATGATGAGTTCTTCCGTTAAGACCAGGTGGGATGGCCAAGCACGGTGGCTCCTGCATGTCATCCCAACACTTCGGGAGGCCGAGGTGGGAAGATTGATTGAGTGCAGGAGTTTGAGACCAGCCCGGGCAACACGGGGAGACAACATCTTTCCAAAAAAAAAAAAAAAATTGGTTGGGTGTGATGGTGCATGTTTGGGTCCCAGCTAATTGGGAGGCTGAGCTGGGAGGATCACTTGAGCCTGAGAGATCAAGGCTGCAGTGATCTGTGATCATGCCACTGCACTCCAGCCTAGAAAACAGAATGAGACCTTGTCTCTTAATTAAATTTAAGAATTAATTTTTTTTTTTTTTTTGAGACGGAGTTTCACTCTTGTTACCCAGGCTGGAGTGCAATGGCACGATCTCGGCTCACCGCAACCTCTGCCTCCTGGGTTCAGGCAATTCTTCCTGCCTCAACCTCCTGAGTAGCTGGGATTACAGGCACGTGCCACCATGCCCAGCTAATTTGTTGTATTTTTAGTAGAGACGGGGTTTCACCATGTTGACCAGGATGGTCTCTATCTCTTGACCTCGTGATCCACCCGCCTCGGCCTCCCAAAGTGCTGGGATTACAGGCTTGAGCCACCGCGCCCGGCATTTTTTTTGTTTTTTTGAGAGACAGGGTTTCATCATGTTGGTCAGGCTGGTCTCGAACTTCTGACCTCGTGAACCACCAAACCGGCCTCCCAAAGTGCTGGGATTATAGGCGTGAGCCACCGTGCCTGGCCATAGGATCATCTATATGTTAAAACCCTGGGTAGAATGAAATCCATATGCACACTGATTTTTGGATTGCCAGTGAGCTAGCAAATCTCTGTTTTGATAAACACCTTTCTCTCCTGTTCCCGTAGGTTCACTACATGACACACGGAGCAAACAATAACTCGGCCCGCCGTGGAAGGAAGCTGGCCATCGAGAACACCATGGCTCTGTTAGGTACGGACGGAAAAAGAGTCTCGGAAATGTTTCCCAAGGAAATCCTGGCCCCTTCCGTGAACGTGGACCCTGTTGTGTGGAACCAGTACACCAGCATGCTCAACGGCGGTCTGGCCGTGAAGACCAATGAGATCTCTGTGATCCAGAGCGGGGGCGTTCCTACCCTCCCGGTGTCCTTGGGGGCCAGCTCCG